ACACACACACACACACACACACACACACACACACACACACACACACACACACACACACACACACACACACAATGTCTTTGTGCATCAGTGAGTGGTCTATTTTGGAGAAGAAGGCTGTCAATAAATATTTTTTTGCCTTGGCTCGATTCCTGGAAACACTGATTGGATTGGTTTAAAAAAAAGGACCTAAAACCTGACAAAGGCACCAATACACAAAAAAATCACCATTATTTTTTTATTATTTTACTAAACAATAAAAGGTGTAAATGACAATGCAAGCAAATAACATTTGTCATTATGTTGAGTTTGTTTCAGAAACTGATTACTTGTTTAAAATGTGTGTGGCTTTTACGCAATAAGCATATTTCAGTTTTACTCAGCTCTCTGCCCCACACGAGTCAAAAYATAACATTAGTGAATGAATTATACCTATTACATTTCTGCATCTTTGCCTGTTATGCTGAAGTACAAAATGATCTATGCTCCAGCCAAAATAAAAAGCTGCAAATGCAAACATAACGCTAATACTAAGAACATTTAATCTACTGTGTATCAAAAACTTTTACAATTTGACTGAATGCAGTATAGAAACTGATTTAAAAAGGGGTAGTGTGTAAAGTTGATGAGCAACTAATATCTTACCTGTTGCAGATAGATCTTTAAATTACTTTAATTTGGAGAAAAATAAATTGGTTCTGTCAGAATGAGGAGTTATCAATTAGTTAAAGTAGGCCCAAGACCAAAGTGGAATTTTGTTATCTACAGAATTTCATTGCAAGAATAATTAATAATTTTTAATGCAATCCGGTGTCTCTACGCAGACTAAACTCAGAGGTTTGTCTTGGAATTCTGTGAACAGTTCACCTACYATTTGACCTGAAACATACAATTTTCTCTGCCCAGTTTTCTCTTTTCTTTGTTCTTAGCTATGGCYAAATGTCTCTTCTACACTGGTAGAGGAGTGGAGTACGCAAGAYGGCGTCTGCATTGGAGGCGCYATCTAGTGGCCATTTTTCATCACAACCAAATCAGTCTCACAGAGACACTTTTGTAAATTTTTTCAACTTTCAAAAATCAACAGTAAGAACTGTTTTGAGTTAGGGTGCTGGCTGTATACGGCACACGTTCTGCTTGCTGTCCACCCTACTATTTTCTACTTTTTTTTTTTTTTCAAAATTAGATTGGTCAAAGAAGCATCTAAGACTGRTGAAATAACTTTATAACTTTGCCACAGGACTCACAGAATGTGTTCACGGACACCTGCTGATTGGACAATTCCTCTAAGTTATTAGAAAAMAATAGACTTTAAATAAACTGTATAGTTTCCCATTCTTGCATTGCTGTTGATGAATTTGTTTCAGGGGTTTTAAAATTACTTGTATAGCTCTATTCTTTACRTTGATTTCTGCATTGTGTTGCACTATCATCCACCAACATGATCCCTCCATCTGCAGTTTCCTGTGAGGTTGCTGATTTGCCCCCTCCGGTGCATAATGTTCTAGCACTACAGTCCCACATGGGAATAAAAGAATGCRTCCACGAATACATGTGTCTGTCAAACACTTTATTAAGATTATTTTTAGGGAAAATAAAACACCTTTGAGAACAAATAGAGAAATGGAGTTCTTTCTCAACATGTTAAACCAAATTAAAAATTGAAAGTCTGTTCGCTTCACCACTAACAGAACTCTGCTCAGTTAACAAGGAAATTAACAAGCAGATTGTCTGATTTCAGTGTTTCAACTGGTTACTGAGGCTGCTTGAACCCAAGCAGTTCACAGACTGCCTGACTCAGAAAAAGTTCATGTCAATACCGCAAACGAGGATGGGTGTATATTGATAACGATGGTGAATTATTATCTGGGGATGTTTTTCTGTGGTGAGACATCCTGTCTTCAGTGTTAGGCACAGACACCCCCATCACACCCACTGCAGATAATACAATGAACACAACACAATGGCAGGATGTCAAATTCCACAGATACACTATGTTTTTGGACTCCAGAAGAATTTAAGGGCAAAAGTCACACAAAAAAAAACACACCAATAAATCGAACGTTATAATGTGACATGAACTGTCTCGACTGACATCAGAAAAAAATGTGATCTAAAGATAACAAAATGACAAATGATTAGAAATAGTCCCAGTTCTTCAAAGAAAAATTCATCAAAGAACAAATCAGGTTTATGAACTGATTCAAAGTAAGAATATCATACATAAAAAATTACAAAAAACAAAGAAAACAACAAATTGACTTTACATACAAGTTAACCTCATCATATTGCACAAATACTCAAGTGGCAATTTGTACTGGCCCTCTTTGTTCTGTCTCAAGAAAAACATCAAAAATTACAAACACACACAGATGATTAGGGAATACGCTACATGTCACATAAAATGAGGAAACCTTTTAAAATGTGGTTTGACACATGCATGTTTAAGAGTATAGATGAAGCTGAATAAATAAATTAGGTTGTTTAACAAACGGAAATACTGCACATATATTTTCTCGGTTCACCATACAATTTAACTATTAACATCACAGTTTTTTATATTGTCAATTTTGTGTATCTTAATAATATTTCTTTTTTTCCTTAAGTATGTTGCATAATGAGTGAAAACAACCCTTGTTTTGAAGATTTTTACTTTTTATTGAGTACTGGAAGGGCTAAAGAATAAATACAGAATAAATTTTATGTAGCAAAAAAATGTAAAATTGGATTGTAAAAGTATTGGTTGTATTTATTGGGCTGTGGAGTCCTGACTGTATTCAGAGACTGAATAATCTTAGATACTCACTTTGAGTTTAAAACAAAAGTTAATATAGAAGTCTATGAATAATTTATGCTAAAACCTAAACAATAATTTAATTGATATTAGCTTTATCTTTCCTGAATCTTTTAAGTACTTTGAAAATTTGACTACGCGTTACTATTTTATATTTTTGACATAAATTATTAGTGATTGTCCTTTTTTGTTTTCTCATACAATAATCTAGAATTTTCTTTAGTGGAGGAACCTGTGACAGTATGAACAAGTAAGTATGTTCATTTTAACTTTTTTATGCATTTTCATGTTTTTATTTATTTACTCTTATTTTTTTGTCTTAAAAGTTTTAATTGAGTCATGGCTTTTTGCTTGATTTTCATCATGTCTTCTTAATCAGGTGGGTTGTAACCAGGCACAAAAATGAAGTGGGGCCAGCCCCACCTAAAAGAAGTTADTGATCTTGCAAAGTAGTTTCTCCTATAAATATTATAAACTATTCACTTACATAGCTTGCTGTGTATTGTTTTTTTCTGTGTGTTTTAAACTAATTTGTCAATTTATTTATTTACTTATTTAAGTTTTTTTATTTTATTTATTTACCTGAAGTTTTGGGGCAGGACGGTCACCACCAGGGCCCCTCGGCAGATTTATTGTATTACCCCCCTGTTGGCAGTGATCAGAACTGCAGAAAGCTCCAATTGAGCCTCATTGGGACAAAAATAATTTCTCTCCCTGGACACATCCTGCTGATTTTAGCTCCCAGATATGGCCAAAAGCAACACAAGACCTCATGTGATCTTACTGAATGCAGGGATAGCTGAGGCTGAACCTGCTGTGTCCAACACTTAAGATTTTTCTGTTTAAAAATCCATTTACGTATCAGACTAAATTTAGAAGATAAGTGATGTCAGCAGCCTAGAGCAGACACACCGGATATGAACTGAACACAGAAAATTGTAAAAAGGACATTTTCCTCAACATTGTAGGCTTATTTTCTGTGTCTGTCTGCACTGTGTGTAATAGTTGAGGCTTTGAAGCAAAGGGGTGAATATGAATGAGAACACACCACTTCTTTAGTTTTATGTTGTTTGACAGGTTTTCCTTTTTGTTTGTGTTTTCTCCCATTTAACTTTGTTACCTTGAAAAATTATTATAGACCTGTTACTTCAAATCAAATTAGAAATCCAATCCAGAAAGATGTGTGCCCATTTGTCTGCAATATTTTATGCAGCTAAAATGAAAAACGTTCTTGTTTCAGGTGGGGGTGGATGTGGGAGGCGTATTTGTTGGTTTTAATTATTGGACTATTTTCACGAAACACAGCCTTGACCTGCAGAAGGGGGGAAAATGGTCACAGCTTTGTGCCACAACACAGCAAATATTAAACAACATATATCTTGTGACTTTCCACAGAAAACAAAAAAGCAAATTGTAAAAATTGTGTGTTTAGCAATTCAGTAAAAAAAGAGCCTCCCCTTCAACATTCATGCTCAGGAGGTTCTGCTCACTGGTTGCAAATGAGCAGGACTTGTTTCAGAGTTGACTCCTTGTGACTCCCATTCTAAGTAATAAGTCTGTAGGAGTTTTAGGTTGGCTCGTCTCCAACTGGGATCAAGGCTGGCTTTTTGTTCAGAGCAAAAACCTAATAGTAGCTTAATAATGAAGTGTTGTGACAACTAAAAATTTCCACTTATTCCTGGTTACGAAGCAGATTGTGGAGTTGTGGAGCACTAGAGACTAGTGACATTCTGTGTGAAAGTACACTGAGTATGAGAAAGCAGAATATAATCTCAAATCTTACTSCTTAAAACTATAAGTAGACCCCTGTAAAACACAAAGACTACTTTTAGCTTGACAGTATGTTAGATATTATTGCCTGGAAACAAATGTAACACAAAGGTCTTTTTAGAGACTTGAACTTTATGATGAAACATGTTTATAATGAAATGAAAGTAGTGCAAATACAGTTTACTGGGATTCAACCTGTGGAATAGTTTTGGGAAACTCCACCCTTTGAACAAATGAGTAAGTGAGTTCAGTAACAAATGAATGTGTCTAACGTCTGATTGTCCAAGTCTGGTGACTGGAAACGTATTACTCAGTTCAAAATACAGGAATCTCTATAGATAGGAAAGTCGATAACAAAAATGACACATTCTGAGCATTTAAATGAAGTATTCTTTTCTGACCGTTTGACATTTATTTGTTTTGAACTATATTGATATAAAGTATGATGAATTCTGACCTGGAATAAAAACAATGTGATAGCACTGATGCACCCGCTGGACAGCATGAAAACGAACGTATAACTGTTTTATGAGCTACTAACGACCCACAGGGTCATGTTATGTTTTAAATAAAGTGGCAAAGAATAAAAAAAGAAAAGACTAAAGTAATAAAAATCTAATTTTATGCTTTACTTTAGCTCCAGACTTCTAAACATTAAGAGGTAGCTGAAAACCATTACCTTTGAATTATAATTAATACAAATATCAAAGTGAGCACTTTAATGGCTGGTGTGAGATTTTCTGTACTAATAACGCTGCTGATGGGTGAGGTGGACTGACCTGGGTAAACAGCCCTTTTTATTTTTCTATCTTTGATGTACGTAAAACAGCTTTTCATCTGTTTTTTTTTTTCGAAGTCTGCCTTTGAACCTGCGTGTCTCCTTGATAACTATTATTGTGCTTCCATCACGCGAGCACAATTCATTGAAAGGAATGCAGTGAATTTCCTGTTAGCTCTTAGGGGATATGGTTTGTTTTTCCTGTTGCTGGGAGCCAGGTTTTTCTTTTTCTTTTTTTTTTTCTTTTTTTTTTTGGTGGCCTCTTTAACTTCCTGTTTAAAAGGTTAACGATACAAAGAGGCTGCAAAGGTGAGCATCTGAAGCAAATAAAAAGACTTTGGTTACTCTTCAAACAGCCTTTTTTTTTCTAACCTACACCCACAATCTCCCAACTCACATCCATTTCAGATGTGGTTTGTCAAAGACATCATTTGTGCTTTTCAAACAAGATTTAAAAAAAGGGAGCAGGGAGTTGAGAAATGCTTTTTAGGCATTAACACGAAAAAAAAAAAACGCACAAACCCCGATGGGTGACTTTGAAGGGAGATGRGGGGCCCTGCTGGTAGAACATGCTATAATCTCATGCCATGCTGCTGGTCGGCGTGCTTTGGGTGCTTCCAATGCTCGCATTGGCACTGCTGTTCTCAGAGGGAGATGGGTTGGTGGAAACAGGCTGTCGCTTTGCTCTTGAGCACGGGCATCCTGGGGAGAGAAAAACAAATACGCGTAAAAAAAAAGGATAAGCCAATAAGAACTCGATAGACTGAGTAGATGAATTTCTCACCAGGAAGACCGACTCCAGTTGACCTCATGTCCAGTCCAGCTGGGTATCCTGAGTTCAAATAGAATGAAATCATATTAAATCCTGACAATACTCAGGAAGGGTCAAAGAGAAAAAAACTGTTCTTAGTTATGTTTTTACCTGTTTTAATCTTGATAAACCACAATGCTCCGATGAGCAACACTCCAATAAGAAACCCGCCAAAAGCAATGCCCAGAACACCAGACAGGCCAAAATCAAAGCACTGACAGTCTGAAATACAAACATGAAATTACAATGAATGTAAATTACAGTTAAGTATGTCAAATACATTGGCTTTGAATTATTTTATTACAGCACATCAACAGGAATTTGATATGTGTGGCACTATATGATGGTCAGTCTAAAATCAAGATGGCCGCCACTACTAATCAACCTTAAAACTGCTACAACTCAGCCATTTTTACAGATATCAAGTTAATCATCCCCAACACATAATCTGTGCACAAACAAACCAAGCAGGATTTTTTGTTTAAAACTTTGTGATGCAAGGATGGCCTGATATGCATTGCTTCAAAGAATGATAGTTTTATTGTTTCTATTGATTTTTTTTTACTTTGTAACACATAAGTAATATTGATATTAAATTACAAGAAACAACACTGGTCACTCGACTTCAGACAGGAAATATCCCACTTCATTCAGCGTTAGTTTAAGCTTTAACACACCTTTATTGGTGAGGATAGCACTGACCACAATCTTGGAGTTGAAAACCAAGATGCAGAAGTAAAAAAGTAAGATTGAAATAAAGTATGTCATAGTTAACAAAGGAATTCAAACAACCTTAAAATAAAGAATCGATAAAATGAGTATATACTGTATTTTTAGGCTGCATATTAACTAGTGGCCAATTAGTGTGTTTTGTTGTTAAGTATTTTTGTTCTGATTCAAATTCATCTCTCAACATTTTTTTATTCAATAAACCTAGATCATTCTGACAGATCATCTCTGTTTCAAGGTGACACCATTTCCCTCTGGCAGATCATTTTCCCTTCATTTAAGACRTACTCCTCCCTCGCCTCCCGCTATCACTTCCAAACAGCTCTTCCACCAGAGACAGAAAAACAGACAGAACCACGATCACATGAAGGTAGCAAAGCAAAGACCCGTGGGACTGGTAACTCTAAGTCCAAAGTGTTTAGTTGTGATGAAACTTTGACAGTTTTGGTTTCTAACGCTTGAATGGATGAGAACAGTGTTCCACAAGTGACTAACTGTGAGCTTGTTTCCATTTTTAGAATTATATATAACCCACAGCTTATAAAAAGGCAATTTTAAAGTATAATACCAGAGGTATATCAAAAGAAAAACTATTAAATAGGTATGAAAAAGTACATATATATTTTTTCAGCAAAGTTCAAATTTATTATAGTTTAGTCAGTGAGATCACACCAGAAATTAACTGCCTTCACTAGTTATGTAACTGAAGRGACAATCACAAAAGTTTTTGGTGAAGGACACACTTTACAATCTTGAATTTAATTTTCTATTCTAGCAAAATTCAAGTTTGCAACTAAATGTTATAGTGTTTTTCTTTTTTTCTCTTTTGCTACTTAGAAAAAATGGTAGTACTTAACCTTCTCACTAATTTTCAAAAAGGTTTCTCTTCCTGACATAAACAAACAATCTGAAGCCAAGTGAAGCCGATGAACATAACTGCAAACATGCTGATTCACACTTCAGTGTCAAACTTTTGCATATTATTATAAAAGATGAGTCAGGATCCAGATTCACGGATCGCTACACAGCTCAACATTTCTCTGCACTGATTCCGACTTGATAAGGGAGTAAAAGGATAAATATTCTAACGAATGTAATATCTGCAGCTAAATAAATGTTACGGCTCAGAATGAACAACTGCACAGAAAACCTGATTCTGTAACAGCAGCTCTGAATAAAATACAAGCCAATGATTTTTTTTCAACACTAAATTATAAACATGCAGCACAAGAAAACATTGTACTAATAAGGCAAGGGCACTTTATTGTTTGGTTTTATTAAAAGTCTTCAGGCAAAGCCCTGAAGAAATGTCCTTGCATGCACAATAGCTTACTGACGATGCTTTCCTTTACTCTGATATCTGTGACATTAGACCTACTGATCAATGAATACATGTGTTCATTGGGCGTTTCCTTTTTTGAGATGATTTTGATTTGCAGAATGGTTTTAAATCTGGAATGCTTCAYATCTGAATGAGCAGGTTGCAAAATCCTTCCCAGCTTTAATTTGGACAAAAAYCCATGTAAGCTGTCGGAAATCTCCACCAAAGCAGAGGTGGTCCGCTTATTATGTATTTTGTTTCGAGCAAAACAGTGTGCAAACACATGCTTTCTTTCGCCTCGCTGCCTGTGGAGATCTACTCGCAAGCAAGCAGAACATTTTAAAGAAACTAATCATCACCTGTGCATGAGTTTCTCTCACCTGCCTCTGCAGCCTCCTGTCTCATGGTGGAACAAGCTAAGTACTGTAGCAGGCGTCACAGAATGCACCTGCTCGGAAATAACACCGCTGAAAATGCACGAGGGAACACAGGAAGCCATCGCTTTTGAAGAAATGTTCTGTTATGCAGCACATAAAGTGAGCAGAGACGCTATCATTTATCTCTGACATGCAATGATTAAAATAAAAAAAAGTACAGACATCTCATTGCAAAGACGGSTAAAGTAGATGTGACTCCACAGGGTGTTTTGTATTACAGTGAGAAAGACTGCAGCCATCGTTTTGTATTAATTTTTAATTAAATATAAAATATCACCAGTAATAAACCCAGACAAGAGCACTGAAACAGTGACATCTTGTGGACACGTGCGGAGACTACAGCCCAGACAGCCAACCTAGTTTGTTGATCAAACAACGAAGAACATTCCTTGACCCTGAATGGGCCCGAAACATCACAGCATCTTGAGCAGGCTCCCTCTGGAGACTYGCTTCCCTCTGGTGAGCGGCTGTGCTAGTTTGTCTAAGTGAGGCTTTGACAGCGAAGCTGAACAAACAGAAGCAGGAAACAGAAGCCGGCGGCGCAGGTGGAGAGGAGGAGAGAGACACCAGGGCCTGCGCCCTGACTCCCTGCCCCTCCGTACCAAAAACTACCAAACAGGAAGGATTGCTGAATGGAGCACTCAGTCCTGCCCAGAAAAGACCTGTGACACAATGCCGTCCACTAGTCCTGCTTATATATAGTAACCTTTTTMTCTAAGCAAATAAATCCAAGTCCASAAACAGACGTGACAAAACAATGTGTTATTAGGGGTATTTCTCTTTTTGAAGTCAGCCTTATTTTCTAGATTACATAGTCTGTTTCACACATCGATTGATACAACGCCGTCATAGAAGCAGAAATGATGAGGGAGGGGGCTAAAAACTGATGTTACTTTTCTGAGCATGCAAAGTGTGGTGCAGCACCATGCGCTTTCCACAGACACAGTTGTCGCTCTGCTTGTTATCAGATTATTGTRTGCAAACACACCAACATGGCACTGAGTCACTATGGTTTGGCACAAGAGATCAATAACAACCTCTTTTTTTTGACACCAGTAAGGTGCGAACAAATAAGATAATGACAAACATGACACAGAAAGCATACGTTTTAGTTTATTCAGCCTTCATGATGGCGTTACAACCTTAATCTTCCTCATCCAAAGAAAGAAGGAACAAAGGAAAGTTTAAGCCAACATTGCCATATTTCCAAAACATCTTTTTTTTCTTTTTACTCATTCAAATTCCACTCAGTCATTAAAAGTGGAAGTTATTTCTCATTTTAAGAAAGCCTTCTTTCCTTATTTGAGTATGTTGATTGGTCTCACAATAGCATGAAGCTCATCAGTGGTCATCATTGGACGGCTGTGTAGTCAGACTCTTTGGAAGCACAAAGGATTTAACCCCCCTTCTYCTTCCCCTGAGGGCTATTACGTCTGATTGTGGCCACAAGGTCAGCCTGCAGACCTTCCTAAAGGACGAGGCCCTGCCCTGCAGCCGCTTACCGGCTTCGCTGCACATCCTGAGCTCACTGCTATGACAACCACCTGAGCTGCACTGGCTGCAAGCCATAAAATAGGAATAAAAGCTGCAGCAGATAGTAACAACTCTTTGACCAAACACTAAACTAGCAATTAAGACCTGGAGGCATAACAGGGAATTAAAAATGAAAGATTTATTCATTTTTTGTTTTTATTTTCTTTTCTTTTTTAGTTCTTTTTTCCCAGAGCATTTGCAAAGTTTGTTGTTGAAGTTTTGTTATTGCAACACTTGTCTTCACAAAAAGGGTTTGGTGAAAATTCAAACTCAAGGTCAATTTTGAAAACTAAAGTCAACAATCTGGAGTCTAAACTGAACTCACTTTTCGGCGGCTGAATAACCTCCAGATTCCTCCTCACTTTTCCTCCATCTCCACAAATCTGAGGAAGAAATCAAATAAAACAGCTTCAAAATGCAGTCAAAGGGGAAAAACATAAAAAAATCACAACAATTATTTTTGCTTGAACAGAAAAAACTGTGTTACAGTTCCTTAACAAACACTTTAATTTAGATTAAAGAAATGTTTATTAAAATTAGTGAAAGCACTAAAAGGGTTTTCATAAAGAAATTAAAGAWTWTTTTTAAAGAGAACAAAAATGTAAATTAGCAATTAACTGAAAACCTGCTTTTATTATGGAAACTCATTTTAATTGTATAATTTATTAAGTAATTAAATGGTCTGGATCTGATTCCATTTTGCATTTGCATTTAAAAGTTGAACTTAAAATACACTGTCAATGTAGTTGACAGCATAAGTAAAAATAGAACATCTTTAGGCTACAAAACAAATCAAATCATGAAAAAAAACAGCAGGAACATTAGGTGAGGTCAGCTCAGAAGCCTGGTGCAAAATTAGAAAGAAAAAGAACAAACTGCTGTGCTCAGCAGCATGAAATGGTGTGGATGGAATACAACAAGAGGGTTATAAAAAAAATAAAGTGTTTGTGTTAAAGACAAACTCATTATCAAAACATATAAAAAGCATYCAAAAAATAGACAGTCTCATTAGACTATAAGCTAACATTTATTAGTGACTTTCCAAGAGGAAACATGGATCACTGACAAGGTGCAAAAGAAAAAAAAACAGATTAGAACAAATCAAACTCCACTTAAGAGCAGCTTGTTCTATATGAGGGAAAACCTCTAAATTAAAACACAGAACAGCTCAATGTCTGAAACATACAGCATTGTCTGAAAAACACATGATGATGGCATGACTTCAGATGGCACTGGCTAACAGTATTTATTTATTTATGGTATGATAAAAGATAAAGGCATTCTGGAGTGAGGAGGGCTCATACTGCTGCACAGATTCAGGCAAACGCAGCAAAGCTGATTGGACAGCCCTTTATAGTGTTGATGGACAAGGACCTAAAATAAACTGTGAAACGACTGCAGAAATGTTTGAAGGAGCAAAAAAAGGAGGAAGACTCTTCAGTGGCCGAGTCAATAACCCCCATCAGGCTGCATTTCACTTGCTAAGCAAATTTGAAAGTAAAAGGAGAAAGATCCACAGACGCACAACTGCAGAGGACTGAGGTAAAGTCCTGGGAACGCTTAGCTGAGAAAAAGTCACTTTGTAGTGATTTCCATAGGTCCCAGACTTCAGGCAGGGCTTTGGAGTCTTCAAACAGTGGAGGACAAAARAATGAACATTTTATCATTTTCATGGTTATGGTAATTTGTCCAATCATATTTGAGGCCCAGAATAAAACACTGCTCTGTGTATTACAGCTATAATTTCCAAACCCTTTTCTTCAATTTAAATGTAAATATCCCTAAATTATAACAGAGTCAGCACTTTTAAGCTCATGTTCATTATAAATCTGTTTATTTATTATGACTTTGTATACGCAGTAGTTAAATTGTTGAAAAAAATAAATGTTTCCTTGTACAAATGAACTTCAATGTATTGTGACTGCAATTAAAAGTCCATGTTTTTTTAAATTACTGCATCAATAATGCTTCATGAGTTCCCTACCTCGCCGTGGCAAAGTTCCACCGAGCACTCCAGCTCCCACTTGGTGGACGTCAGGTCCTGGAACTGATCTAAGGTGAAGCTGAGCCGGGTGTTGTTGCGACAGGATGCCACAAAGCATGGCTCTGGGCTGAAGAGCAGTTTTTTTGCTGCCGAGCACGAGCCCTTGGAGTGCACTAAGCACCTAATCACCTTGATCGTCAATACCATGTCCCCTAAAGTCCTCCCAGAGATCTGAAGGAAAGAGAGGAAAAAACACAAACTTCCTCTTAAAGGAAAAAAAACACAGCATTCAGGCAAATTACTAGCTGATTAAGGTCTAAATAAGGTTATCAATTTCATTTATTCTGAAACTAAATAAGGTGAAAGCTAAATCTTTTGTTGCAGAGTGACTGAGATCACAACAAATTTTATTTTCCTTGGCTCAGCTTGTTTATAGGTAGACTGCAGGGACCAAAACTGTGAATATCCTTTATTATGCAAGTATTAATCTCCATTTAATCTGAATAAAAAATAAGCCATTTCGACTTCAATTGCGCACAAGTTACCACCAGAGCAGTGATGCTTCATTTTAGGCTTTTAGAGATCTCCTGATAAAAGACTTAACATGAAGAAGTGAACTCATTATCAATAGAAACGATGGGATATAAATAAAAACACTGATCATCATCAACAATTCCTAAGAACTAATGAGCCCTGAATTCTGTGCTGTCAGGACAAGCCTAATCTTCTCTTTGTAGAACTTTTCTGTAGTAAATAACTAACTTGTATTTGCAAGTTATACACATGAAACCAATTTCCCACATGTATCAGTTTGTGTCACTAGTGTTGCACTGTGCAAATGTACACAGTTGTCCATTTAAATTAGTAAGTAAGACCTGGTCTACTTTAAGAACGATCAAAATTCTTACCTCTGCATAGATTTTTTTGTCACTCGGCACTTTAGTGTCTGGGTTCAAGGGTAAACGGTAGTCTGGGGAGGTGTACAGCTGCATCATCAGAGGCATCTGATGAGGCRGATTGGTTGTTATGGGAAGGTTTGGTTGTCTTCTTGTTGCTGAAACTGTGGGAGAAGCCCCTAAAATGCAAAAAGAATGTCAACGTCAATGATTAATATCGTTACTGCTAACATTCCAACAAATGTACAACTTTRTGAGCTATACATTGAAGCAACAGATCTTTTGAAATATGTATTTATTTTATGGAAAGTTTATGCATACTTCAAAAAATGATGTGTTGTAGAAAGTTCTTTGAATGGCTATAGCTTGGCGGAAAAAAAATGAATTAATTCTGACTAAAGTGATATGCTTGTGATGGGTCTGAGTAAGTACAGGACTGAGAAAGATTGCTGTCTTAAAACACCTTCAATCTAAAAACAAAAACTTTCATTCAATATTCTATGAAAGAAATTAAAAATCAGCTTGCTGACAAATTCCCAATACATTCAATGTTATTCACATAGATTTCTATGATGCTTAGCAAGCAAAAACAATGACATAAAGAGCTAATTCTAGCTCTTCTATTTCATCCTGACGTACGTTTAATAGAAATATTTTGATATTTCTGTTGTAATGACATTATGATGAAAAGACGACAGGGTTGTAAGCTTTATAACATTAGAATAAACCACTATAAGGTTTATAT